TCATTATTACTTGCTCTTGCCGCTTTCTAATCATCTCAGCTTTAGTACCTCACAAGAATATATGTATGGCTCGATAGATAAGTTATATTTTTAACTATTTGTGAATATATAGTGCAATTTTATGATGATTTGGAGTTATAAAAGGCGCAGATTGCAACAAAGTCACACCCAACAAAATTAAATACAAAAAGATCTCTTAAAATTATCAAATTATTTTGAAATCCCAAGAGACCTCATTGCAAGATAATTCATTTGTTTAATTATCAAATTGATTTTTTTTTGTTAGTTTGCATCAACAACTAAAAGAGCAATTATTGACAACTTAAGGTATCAGAATTAACAACTATCACGACAGGTATTGACAACTCATACATTATATTTTGCGATGTGTTGAGAAAATGTGTTGTCAATACTTACCGTGATAGCTGTTAATCCTTATACCTTAAATTATCAATAACTGCTCTTTCAGTTGTCAATACAAACTAAAAAAAAAAAGGTTATTTGGTAATTAAACAAATAAAATTTTTTGTAACGAGATCCCTTGAGACTTGATAGTAATTTGATGATTTTAAGGGACTTTTTATATTTAATTCCCTTGAGTGGGACCTTATTGTAATTTTTTTCCCATAAAAAGGGTATTAGTGAAAAGAAATTCTTTTCAAAAAATTATCCCTTATAAAGTGTATTGGACTACGAGCTATATTTTCAATTCGTGGTAACTATGAGTAAATTGTATTCGTATTTTGTCTTCAAACCAAGTTAATGGTTTGACAACAGACCTTTTTGGTTTTTGACGAGGTAGTATCCGAAGTGTCTTAGAATAAGCACTAGAAGGAGGGTACATTACATTAAGTCTAAATAGAAAAGAAGACGGCGAGGATCCTGAAACAATAAAAAAAAAATTAAAAGAGTGGAGATTTTCAAGAAGACATCAATTAGTGAATAAGTAATGAGAAAATAACACAAGATTGGTAATTAATTAATTATGAACAGATAACTTCAGATTGTCCTAATTAATAGGATGGAGCAAGATGTGATTCACAATCACATTGAGCTCCAAACGTGGGAAAAATCCAATGCAAACAATACATTCCATGACATGGCCTTACCCAATTAACAGTTTCATCTTTGAGGCAATAAATGCCACAAAGATCATTAGAACAAGTGAAACATATTTGGTTACCTTGAAAACAACAAAAATGGTTACCATCATCATCATTAGGGGAACAATCTTTAACGTCAACAATCTCACAACATGCGTCACTCAACAACACAATTTGATCTTCCAACATATCATCCGCCATTATTTCCACAATCTGGCGGCCTCCTTCATCCTCTTCAACCTTAAAAATCTCAAACTTAATAGTTGGGAAACGAAGCAAATGAATATATTTCATCACAAGAAAAAGACCATTCCCTTTAGGCTCCCCCACCAGATAGGCTTGGCATTCTGTACTTTTTTTCATTAACGAATCAATATTAATGGCTTGGGAAGAATCTATAATACCCACAAGATTGAGCTTCAAATCATCATCGTCAGTTCCAAATATGTCAACCTTGTCAAAACCTTTTCTAATGGCATACAATCTCGTATTGTGAAATGTCACATTAACATACTTTTCTTCTTCATCTTGGTGATAATTATAAGCTTCCCATGCTTTGCCTCCGATCTTACACAAGGCTAATTTCTCTTTACTTGAAACAACTGCAACCATAGTAGGTCTCATAAACTTACAAAAAGACACTGCAAAAGCTTTCGCATGTTGTATGTTTTTATTATTAAGATCGGGAGATTTGTCTGATTTCATGCCACTACGCTGCAAGGCCATCAGAGGTAGAGGTAGAGGTGGAGGTGGAGGTGGAGGTGAAGGTGAAGGCGGAGGCGGAGGTGGAACCTTTTCAGAATGTACAAAATTTGGCATGGCGGGTCCCGGCAAAGGAGGGAGATCAAGACAAATATTGGAAAAGATATTTATGAGTTGGATTAAGTCATGATTGCGATATTGGAGAAACAACCATCCCTTGAAGCATCCAATAATGTATGGATTAGAATGTTTGAACGATGTTGTTGCTTGGATCTGATAACATGTTAGCTTCTTGTTCTTGTTGTTACTGTTGCATATATTTCTACGGCAGGAGGAGAATTCATGAGTGAGAGCAAGAAGCCATGGATTTTCACGAGCTCGTGGGATCGGTCTCTTAAGGGCCAAAGAATGACATGATTTGCAGACTCTTGAGAATTGAAATTGGTCTGTAATGGAGAAGCCATCGATCATGAGCTCCATAATTTCCCTGGGTATGAGCTCCATTAATAATGATCTCTTATTCTCATCATCAGTTCTGGTTTGTTCTTGGTTTGATTCTTCCTCCATTCTAAGAGATAAAAGGAGATTCAGTGAATTACAATCTCATAGATATATATATATATATATATATCAGTATCAATCTATATATCTATATATATAATTTTTCCTTCTTGTTTCTCCACTTTTTCCTATATTGAGGAGAGAAGCCAAGAATGTTGCCGGCGCCATTAAAGCTGATGCCACTTTGCTATTCTCAGTGATGAAATGAGAGGAGGAAATAGAGGATCCTAATCATGTGATTTTTTCAGCTAATATTTTTCTCACTTAAACCCGTCTTGGCTTTTTAAGGGTAGGTCCACCAAAAATATGTAACCCTTCACATTACTGTTTTTGAATAAAAGAAACACGATTTATAAATAGTGTGATTTGATATATTGGTTATATTTTTGTACCACGTAATGATTAGAGTTTAATAATAAAGTTGATGACCCTAATAATTTGTACCGTTTAAGTGTTGTTATAGTTCATAATATGAAAGCATATATGACTTGTTTTTTTCTTTTTACCCGAATAATTTGGATCTCCATGTCATATCTATTCTGCTTTTAGATTGAAATTATTACTTCTAATTCTAATTATAAAACTTTATCTGTAATAAATGAAGTCTTATAATTAAAACCGGAGGTAATATTACGCAATGATTCTACTGAAATTTTTCAATTTACTATACTCATTCATGTAATACTACCTCCCGTCCTTGATATAAAACCCCGTTTAACTTTTATTTTAATTCTTAATATAAGACCTCAATTCATTTTATCTCTCAAATTTATCCATTTTTTAAGATAGTCCATCTAATAATAGTAATTATAGCCAATACACTTGATTAGCAAAGATATTTTAGAAAAGACAATACATATTTATTATAAATAACTAATTTAATTTATTTTTTTAATCTACTCAAATTAGTCAATTAACTTTTATATTTAAAAATAAATTAGTTATAGGAGAAGAATTTTGCAAGATATGGACAACTGGACAAGTGATGTGAAATTGGCTTTTATATTAACATCTTGGCTTTTTAAGGGTAAAGTCCACAAAAAATATGTAACCCTTCATATTACTTCTTTTTTTAAAAAAAGAAACACGATTTATAAATTGTGCGATTTGATGTATCGGTCATATTTTTGTACTAAATAATGATTAGAGTTTAATAATAAAGTTGATGGCCCTAATAATTTGTATTGTTTAAGTGTTATTAATATAGTTCATAATATGAAAGCATATATGACTTGTGTTTTTTTTTTTACCCGAATAATTTGAATCTCCTTGTCATATCTATTCTGCTTTTAGATTGAAATTATTATTTCTGATTCTAATTATAAAACTTTATCTGTAATAAATGAAGTCTTATAATTAAAACTAGAAGTAATATTACGCAATGATTCCATTGAAAATTTTCAATTTACTATACTCATTCATGTAATACTACATATCATCTTTGATATAAAACCTCGTTTAACTTTTATTTTAATTCTTGATATAAAACCTCAATTCATTTTATCTTTCAAATTTATCTATTTTTTAAAATAGTCCTTCTAATAATAGTAATTATAACCAATACACTTAATTATCAAAGATATTGTAGAAAAGACAATACATATTTATTACAAATAATTAATTTAATTTATTTTTTTAATTTACTTAAATTAGCCAATTAACTTTTATATTTAAAAATAAATTAGTTATACGAGAAGAATTTTGTAAGGTATGGACAAGTGATGTGAAATCGGCTTTTATATTAACATCTTGACTTTTTAAAGGTAAAGTCCACAAAAAGTATGTAACCTTTCATATTACTTCTTTTTTGGAAAAAAGAAAGACGAGAAACACGATTTATAAATAGTGCGATTTGATATATGGGTCATATAGTAAATGATTAGAGTTTAATAATAAGTTGATGACCCTAATAATTTGAACCGTTTAAGTGTTATTATAGTTCATAATATGAAAGCATATGACTTTGGATCTCCATGTCACATCTACTGTGCTTGTAGATTGAAATTATTAGTTCTAGTCCTAATTATAAGACATCGTTAATGAAATCTTATAATTAGAACCAGAGAGAGTATTAAGTAACGATACTATTGAAATTTTTCAATATACTATACTTTTATTGTAATTCAACATTAACCTTTTTAAGAGTATAAAAAATATTTACTTTGTACAATATTTATTTAGTTTTATTGATCCTTGTACTAAATTTTTTGTTCTCTAAGATAATCGCAAATGCTTTATAAACCTGTTTCAATGATAATTTATAAAATAATACTTTCAATTTTTAATATAAAAGTTAAATGACTAATTTGAGTAGATTAAAAAAATTAATTAAGTTAGTTATTTGTAATAAATAGATATTGTCTTTAAAATATTTTTTTAAATCATGTGTATTAGTTAGAATTACCATTTAATAAAATTTTTAACATATACAATTACTATAATAATTATTTTAAAAAATAGATAAATATAAAAAATAAAATAAATTGAAATCTTATGTTTAATAAAAAAAACTAACTTATGTAATATGACTTATCCGTAGGACAAGAATTTTGTAAAATATGGACAAGCCATGTGAAATTGTCATTTGGTAAAGTTGTGACTGAAAATTTTTCCGCGGACTATAAACCCCGATTAGCCGGCCGAGGAATCTTCCGGCTGCTCCGTAATGGGTCCGTCTTCGAGATTGACTTGTTTCGTCGTGAAAAGTAATAATGGCGATGGTGGTGGAGCCACTTTCTTTAATATTTATTAATCTCTCCACTCCGTCCACATTAATTGTATTTTCCTCCTCCAATCTTCTTCTTACGTTCACTATCTTTAACTGATTTGAGTGATTGTTTGTGCTGTTCGACCTACCTGTATTGATCCGAAACGACCATGACCGGCGGAGATTTCGCCACCGCCAGCAACGTCGGCGGAAACTTCGATGCCAAGATCACTCCGATTGTCGTCACTTATGGGTTCATGGCCGCCACCGCTGGCCTCATGTTCGGCTACGACGTCGGCGTTTCAGGTGCAGATCTTCAATCTGTTTCTCTTCCTCCTCCTCCTTCTCAACGGAAATCGGGATTGAACAGGAGTTCATCGATTTTGCAGATGTTAATTGCAATTTCAAGTCATAATTCCTCGAAAATTCTGGAAACCAAGTCACGGACTGTGCTATATTCTACTAAGTTTTCACCCAAAAAAAAAATTCAAGCATTCCTTCCTGTATTGATTTACTATAATTTTTTTTTCTTTTTTGAAACCTTTTTCACCATAAAACTTTCTTTGCACAAAGAGCCGAGCCGTGATATATTTTTTGTGTGGCTCTAAAGGAAATAAACCCATATCGGCGTTCTCGCTATTTCATCCAGTGATCTGATTTTTTGGCGGATAAATTTTATCGAAGTTTAAAATTTAAAATTCCAAATATATTTTTCAAAATCTTTTGCTGTAATTCTTATGAAACTTGTGGCTATAGAGATGTTACTTTCTCTACTACTATAATTTAGTCTCTAACCCAATATTTAGCATAAATTAAAACTTTGAATTGAATTCCAGAAAACTATCATTTTCCCAGACCCAAAAACAAAAATGCCAAAGAAAATGGGTGTGTTATATGGCCTTGTGGGATTGAATCAGGTGGGGTGACGTTCATGCGACCGTTCTTGAAGAAGTTCTTCGCAGGGGTAGAGGAAGGGGGAAATGGTAATTACTGCCAAAACGACAACTGGAGACTGCAACTGTTCACGTCGTCTTTATATCTGGCAGGGATGACAGCGACAATACTCGCCGCTTATACGACAAGGAAGTTTGGGAGAAGGACGAGTATGCTCGTAGCTGGCATCTTCTTCCTTTGTGGAACTGCGTTCAGTGCAGGTGCTCAGGATCTGGCCATGCTCATTATTGGAAGACTTTTGCTTGGTTGTGGGGCTGGCTTTGGTAACCAGGTTGGTCGTCCTATATGGCCCTTTCCCTTTTGTTGTTATTTATCATCAATTCATCTACAAACAACAAATTCATCAACTGTTTTTAAATTGTACAAATTAATTAAGAATTTAAGATGACCTCATTTAAATATGAAGCATGGACCCTTTGTATGTGCTATTTTTATTTTTAATATAAGTTTAATTGACTAATTTAAAAAAAATTAAAAAAACTAAAAAATTATTTAATTATAGTATACGATTTCTTTAAAATATTTATGTATATTATTAGATTATCAGTTTATAAATTAGACAAATTCATTTAAAAAAATAACAAATACAATATTTTGAAGTCATTTATTTAATTTTTGCTAATTATTTAAGTAAGTTTTATATTAAGAATAAGAAATAACTTATTAAAAAAAACAAATAACTAACCTATGTATGGTTATCCTATGAAAATAAAAAAGAAATTAGTTGAACGCTTTTATTATTCATAACTATGTCGGCTATTGTCCCCCCCCCCCCAAAAAAAACCCCAATTAATTTTGACTTTTTACCAAATATGTAATCACGTTCATAAAGGCAAGTTACATTTAAAGAAAGATGAGGAGAACTTTTTAGTAAAAGAGATGTGTGCACAGTTTGTCTCTGTTTTTTTTTCTTTTTTCTTTTTTTGCCAACGGATAATTTGTCTTTTATATTTACCATTCGGAAAAAACTCCTTAAATTTTTTATACATACAAGATTAGAGAGTATAATATTAATATGTATGAGAAGGCATACTGTTCCTAACAATATATTAGAATGAAATATTCTTTTTTTTAAATAAAAATTCAAATTTATTTGGATACCAGATAAAAAGATTACATTATTTGAATGAAATTCTCTTAGTTTATAATCAAAGGTGAAAACCCACAGCATACAATATTTAGCATCCTTCAATTCCATGCTTTTATATATATACTATCTCTGGTCCTTAGTATAAGATCTTGTTTGATTTTTATTTTGATTCTAAATATAAGATCTCAATTCATTTTTTTTAATTAAAACTGAATGACATTACTTAGAACAAATAAAACAAATACAACTATCCTCCTTCATCACCGTCCTCCTCTGGATTCAGAGGTGGAGGTTGATCAAGGATACAAAAATTACTCTCTATCCTATGAGACAATTTAGCGAGGAAATCGGTAGTATGATTATCCTGCCTGTGAACATGAAAAACCTGTACTACCCAATCCCTATGAAGCAAGATCCTAGCATCATTTATAACATCTCTAAAAAGATGCTCATGTCTACTATCCGAAGTAAGTAAGAAATGGCTTCTATACTATCCGTTACAAGACAAATTTTTCTAAAGCCTCTATTCCAACACAAAGTGAGTTTGTGTATCATGCCAAGTAGTTCAGTAATTGTAGGAGGCACATTTGTTAATTGACATCAAAACACTGTGATCCACCCCTTAGAAGCTCCCTTTATCACACCTCGGCAACCGCTTCTTCCATCACCAAGCACTGACCCATCTACTTCCATCTGAACAAAGTCTTCTGCTATGAGCACTCTTTGCCCCTCTTGCCAAGGTTTGTGGTTGTAGAACTTGCTACTCTGTAGCATATCTTGGTCAACACAAGCCTTGAAGAAGCTATTCTGAGCCTCCTGACAAGCGTGAGGAGTGTCGTGCCAAAGAGTTTGTTACATCTGGTTACCCATATGTCCCAACAAATATAACCAAACAGGACTGGCCAATCAATCTTCTTGGTGTAGCTGAGTCCATGCTCCTGAGACAAATTCCATTTGATCCATCCTACGTCTTGTAAAGTAGAAAAGGATGACCAGTGAGCAGGATGGATAACTGATTTTTTCCATCAATCTTGCGCATTGATGCAATCTCTCAACAGATGCATGGAGTCTTCCTCTTGATCACAACCAAAAGGACAATTATCTTCTGCCTGGAGACCTCTAGACCTCCTAAGTCTTATTGTGTGAGTCCTTCCACATGCAATTAGCCAAATGAAAGACTTGATCTTTTCTGGTATCTGCAATCTCCAAATCTGTTTCCAGACACTATCCCTGTGTGAGTGATTACCTGCAAGAAGAAAGTTATATGCAGATTTAATTGAAAAACAACTATCAGTGGATAGTTTCCAGTAAATTTTATCCTCTCCTCTCTCCTCACGGGGTGAGTGTACAGAAGTAATCCGGTCAATAATATGTCTATCAAACCATCTCCCCAACCTATGCCTGTTCCAATCTCCTCCCATATCCACATAATCAGCAACCCTCTTATCTTTGTCAATTAGTCCTTCCCTACTTGGGATAAGGTCAATAAGTGGAGTATTCATATCTGACCAATTATCAAACCAGAAGGAGGAGTTTCCCTTTCCAATTTTCGCACCAATACCATCAAAGAACTTTTTCCACATATCACATATGCTTCTCCACGTAAGAGAGGAGTTTCTTTTTCGCTTCACCAAAGGTACCAATTCCTGTCCACACTTATATTTAGCCCGAAGAACTTTCACTCATAGAGCTTCCTTGTTGTGAATAAGATTCCAACAGATTTTCATGATGAAGGCTATATTATGTTTTCTCAAGTTTTACCCCCATCAGTTTTTCCTTTGGTGATCTCTCCCCAAGACAACAAGTGTAGCCTCCTTTCTTCATTATTTCCTCCCCACAAGAAATTTCTACTTTCCTGTTCCATTTGTTCTGTTAGTTTCTTCGAGAGTAGCATTGTTTGCATGTGGTAGAACGAAAGAGTTGATAAGACAGCTTTCACCAGGATAGTGCGACCTGCAAAGTTTAGGTACGTTCTCTTCCAACCCGAAAGTTTTCTTCTAGTCTTGTCTAGCAGCAGTGATCCCAATTCATTTTATTTCTCATATTTATGTATTTTTTCCCACATAATTCTTCTAACAATAATAGTTCTAACTAATACATAAAAATATTTTAGGAAAGACAACACATATGTATTATAAATAACTAACTTAACTTTTTTTCTTAATCTCTTCAAATTAATTAAATAGCTCTTATAAATAGGATCAGAGGTAGTATATATATGTATATATGTATATATGTATATTTATATATATATATTTTTATTCTTAGTTGAGAAGTCTCTGTTTCTTTTTCCCAATGCATTCAATGTACTTTTTTTATAAAAATATTGTCTCTCCCAATTATTTTGATTCCCTCAATTTTTTTTTTGTTTACCATTCCAAATTGTTTTTAGCTTTCATACATTTCTTGCATGTTACTGAAAAACGTAGTTACAGAAAATTCATTGCATGCATTTAGACAATATAATAATCACACACACAATATTATTATATTATTTAAATTTTATTTTTATTTTGAAAACTAATAAATATAACGATTACAGAATATTTTTATGTTAATTTTTTATGATTTTAAAAATTCAATTAAAATTATTTTTTTTTAACTTATATAAACTGTCCATGAAAAATATGAAATCACACAAGCTTCCCCTTGAAACTATATCCGATTGATATACAGATTGGTGATAAATTTAAAACCTTTACGTTTCAATATCATGATCTCATTTTGGCAATATATATATATATCATGATCACATTGGTGTTTGTATTTGCCCATAAATAATAAATAATGAATAAATAGGCAGTGCCAGTGTTCCTTTCCGAAATGGCGCCGACAAGGATACGTGGAGCAATGAATATACTGTTTCAGCTGAACGTGACCATCGGCATCCTCTTCGCTAACCTCGTCAGCTATGGCACCAGCAAGTAAGCAATCCTCCGTTGTTTTGATTTGTACATTACTACGAACATTCTTCACCAATGATTATTGGTTGGTTGCTATTAAACGCCAAAGACTACAAACACTAACTCCCGGTTTTAATCTATTTTGTTTCTCATATTTATTTATTTATTTTTAAAGTAATTCTTGTAATAATTATAATTCTGGCCAATATACTTAATGATCAGTAAGGGTATTTTAAAAAAGATAATACTTATTTATTACAAATAACTAATTTAATTAGTTTTTTTTAATCTACTAAAATTAGTTAACTAATTTTTATATTAAGTACCGAAAGTAATGGTATATTTAACCAGCTTCTTTTCATTTTTATGCCTAACAAACAACCATTGCATGTTGCTTCCTCCTTTTGTTTTTTTTTTAAAAAAAAAGAAATCCTTAATATATGAATTAGATAATTAATTTGAGGAGATTAATAAAATTAGTTAAATTAGTTAATTATAATAAATGTGAGTTGATATTTCTGATGTATTCTTTTTAATCATTTGTCCTTACAATAAATAGGAATATTTTTTAAAAAAAATGTTATAAATTTGATAGATAAGGTAAATTGAAGTCTTATATTTAAAATTCAATCTAATATTTGATTAGCTCTTGTATCGGAGATTGAACTTGAAAAATTAGTTAAAAACAATAAATATGTGAAAAATATTTTATTTAGACGTATGAAGGAAAAGTGAAATGGAAAATAATTAATGCAGCGAAACTTAAAAAAAAATTAAAAAATAATAACAAAAAATTCTCTTCTATTCAGAAACCAAGGGAGTATCTGCTGCAATAAATCTCAGAATATTGCTTCATAGTTCAGATGTTAATGAAAGCATCATTCGAAGCGTAATGCAAATTGCTTTGGATCATATCCCTGAGCGTTAATGAATATGTTTAATCGAACAGGATAAAAGGTGACTGGGGATGGAGGGTGTCTCTTGGAATGGCGGGAGTACCGGCGGTGCTGCTGACGGTGGCGGCATTGCTGGTGGCGGACACTCCAAACAGTCTGATAGAGAGAGGACACATTGAAGAAGGAAAAGAGGTTCTGAGAAAGATCAGAGGTACAGACAACATTGATGCTGAGTTCAGGCAGTTGCTTGAGGCAAGCCAGGTGGCCATTCAGGTGAACCACCCTTTCTGCAACCTCTTCATTCGCCGGAACCAACCTCGACTTATCATCACCGTCGCTCTTCAGGTCACTCTCTAGCTATCTCCATCCTTTTTTTTTCCCCCAGCATATACAACTCTCTAATCATTATCTTCTCGACCTGTAGGAAAACAGTAAGAATGTCACATAATTTGATTCTGGAAATCTTGCACTCCATCCTAAGATTCATCCCGTTATCTGTGTTAGGAGCATATATATAGAAATATATATATATATATATAAGCATTCGAGTTGATCTCTTACCTTCATCATTTTTTGCAAAAATTACTGATAAGATCTTCTCCTATCTTGGCATTACAAAAACAGATCTTCCAGCAATTAACAGGCATCAACGCTATCATGTTCTATGCTCCAATCCTCTTCACGACGCTAGGCTTCAAAAACGACGCTTCCCTCTACTCCGCCGTGATCACCGGCGCCGTTAACCTCTTCTCCACCTTGATCTCCATCTACGCCGTCGACATGGTCGGCCGCCGCATGCTCCTCCTGGAAGCCGGCGTCCAAATGTTCCTCTCGCAACTAGTGATCGCCGTCATCCTGGCAATCAACGCCAGGGATCGGCCCACGGACCTCTCAAAAGGCCTGGCCATCTTCGTGGTGGTCATGGTGTGCACCTTCGTCTCCTCCTTCGCCTGGTCGTGGGGCCCACTGGGGTGGGTCATACCGGCGGAGACCTTCCCGTTGGGGGCTCGATCTGCGGGCCAAAGCGCGACCGTCTTCACGAACTTCCTCTTCACATTCGTGATCGTGCAGTCGTTTCCGTCGATGCTGTGCCATTTGAGGTATGGGATCTTCCTGTTCTTCTCGGTGTGGGTGCTGATTATGTCGTTGTTTATGATGCTGCTTTTGCCGGAGACGATGAACGTCCCTATTGAGGACATGACGGACAGGGTTTGGAAGCAACATCGGGTGTGGAAGAGATTTGTTGAATAAAAAGATGACGACTTTGATCACCAACTCGAAATGAATGATACGATGCTGATAATTGATCCCACAAAACGTAGGGTTTGTTTTTACCTTCTTGCCAGGCACAACTATCCTTATATTGAATGCGATCTTGTTCGAGTAACATCTTTTTGCAGTCTTTCCGAGTCATTGTAGAGAGCTAGATACGGACACTTTTTCCGGTAAATTTCATCATGCTGTGAGGGACCAGTACTTCCTATGGACCCAAACCGGTTGGGAAAATGTAGAGTCTGGTGAAGATATTGACTGGAAATAGATCAAGAGAAGTGTGAAAAAGTAACACCTTGACTGACTCCATCTCGTAGAGACAGTGAATTTCACCTACTCTTGCTTTTGGATTTCTTATCTTTGTTTTTTCAAATTAAAAAACAAAATTGTATAGTGGAATATGTTGATTTTGTTTTGTGATCATCAGTATTCATATGATAAAGGTGGTAGGTTGAAGGGGCTATGTAAAAACTTTGTATTATACTAGTTCATAAGGTTGTTATTGCGGAGTTGTCATGGGTTTTGATGTTTTATATTCATAGTGTATATATTGTATACTTGTAATAAAATGATAAGTGTAAACAAAAGGGGTGAACTTGATTTTGAGTCTAATGTCTTGAAGAATAGATGCGTTTTTGTTTACTTCCAAGGATAAAAACCACAGTACAGGTTTTTTTTTTAATTCTTTTTTAGATTACTTAGGGCAAGCAAAATACTTGAAATAGTTTAGAATTGAACCCATGATCTGTCACCACTAGCCGTGACTTTCATGCCATTATGAGTCCATTTGGAACAACTTATAAATAATTTATAAGTAGCTTTTTAATGGTGATTTATAGAATATGAGATAAGTATGTGAGAGGAATTTTATCTCGACTTATGTGAAATGTGCTTATAGAGAATTTCCATCATGATCCCAAACAAGCACTATATCACAAGAGCATTAGCAAATAGTGACTAATGTTAAAATAAGGCAATGATGAATTTGCCCTTTCTTAAGCTAATGTTTGAGATAGTACATCTACTCTTAACTTTACATTTGAGCTGCAACGACCATAATCCAATTTTGTGTTTAAGCTAAATCCCACCATTTAATTGTTCATTTGAGGGATGAAAGGTGAAGAGAAAGGCCTTGGTTTCTCACCATTATCCATGAAATTTATTGAAGGTGAAATGAGTTAAAATAAGTCCCACTTGAATAAAGCTGAATTGAAAAAGATATACATGTGTCAAGAAGTGCCGACCCTAATACCTTAATTAGATTTTATTACTGATAAATTTATATATTTATAAATGATTGGTTTGAAAATTTTAGTTTTAACAAGTTAATTATGAAGAAAATGACAGAAAAATACCTATTGAATTTTTTTAAAAAAAAAAGTCATGCTAATTACTTTTATAATGATTTTAACCACACTTGTAATGGTTTTTACTGCTCAAAATCTGTTAAAATCACTTATTTGTCATTTCAAAATTCACCAGTTATTTTTTTTGTTATTTTTTTTAATTTGATCTTGTATCTCGAGAATATTCGGTGAAATTAAGAAAGATAGTGTTCATGGCAGACTCAAATTTCTGTTGCAGATGAAGTGCAGTAGCAGCACTCCCATACCACATAACAACAATTAAACCAATCCACCGAAACTAATTACCCCAAAAAGAAAACAATAAAACCAAAAAGAGAAAGGGACACGAACTGAATTAATATGCTTTTAGAAGAAATATTGTTATAATCATAATCACAGTTAACTATTATCACATAAATCATTCCTTAACCATAATCCACTCTCCTTTTCCTTTTTCCATTAATGGAAGTTGGAACCTCTAAAACCCTAATCAACCTCCTTGATCAAAGTGACATATAAAAAGGGAAGAGCCTCCTTAACTCTGAAAAATCACAGGAGAAGGAAATTAAATGCGGCAAAAGAGATCAATCTTGATTTCTCCAGAGAGCTTAGAGGCAGACATGTTTTTGGTACTTAGAAATAATGTTGTTCTGTTGATGACAATGATGATGATGGTGATGACAATGTCGGATGGAGCAGTTTACAAAATTGGAGACTCTGCTGGGTGGACCTCCATTGGCCTTGTAGACTACGAGCATTGGGCTGCTTCTAAGAACTTCCATGTTGGTGACACCATCAGTAAGTCCAATAAATCCCAATTGTTCAATATATACAGAAACATCACAAGACCTAAAAATCACTGAACAATGAATCATGTTTGGGTTAATGTCATTAGTAGTCTTATAATTTATTAAATTTGAGCTTCATTCTTGTATTTTTATAACTTTTTGGTCTGAATTTAAAAAAAACGATATCTATATTTTTAACGAGTTTTGATTTTAGTCTCTACACTTAAACTCCGATCAAGCTTATAAAACTATGAGGAATAAAATCAATGATTGGACACTACAAAGACCAAAACTAAAATTGGGTATAACTGTAAAACCAAAAATGTTATTATCTTATTTTCTTTTAAGGGTAGTAACCAAAATTAAAAGTAGAAAAATGAAACTGATGGGAATTTGTGTGAGCAGTTTTTCAGTACAATCCTCAGTTCCACAATGTGATGAGAGTGACAAATGAGATGTACAAATCATGCGATGCTTCAGCAGAGACTCCTCTAGAAACCTTCAGCACAGGAAATGACTCAATAAAACTCAATAATTATGGGCATGACTTGTTCATGTGTGGCTTTCCAGGGCACTGCCAAAAAGGGCAAAAGATTGATATCAATGTGATAAGGGTTTCCGCAATAAAACCTCCAACTCCATCAAGAGGGGATGACCAGTGTCCTTGTCCCAACAAAGCTGCCCCTCTCGTGGCATCTTTTGCGCTCATAGGACTGGCCATGTCATTCTTTGCTCTTGCTGCTTTCTAGCGTCCCTTGTTAAGACCTTGTTTTCTAAAATAAAATATTTATGCGCGGTTGAGAGTAATGGAGACATGTAGCAGTTTTAAAAACAATGGAACTATATGTGGTCATCAATCATGCATTTAACATCTAAAAGTTGTATGATCATAAACAGTAGATGAATATTGTTCCATCTATTAAGGGCCTATTTGGAATAGCGAAAGGAAACACTTATAAGCATATTTCATGTAAGCCGAAACAAAACTCTTCTCACATATTTATCTCGTATTTCATAAATTATAATTGAAAAGCTATTTATAAACTATTACAAATAGATCCTAAGTCTACATTTGGTTTCTTTCTTACCATTGGATGCTCCGTAGATTTCACTTTTAGCGTGTCCTCCTCTTACAAACTAAATGATACTCCTCCGGTCCTTAATATAAGACCCATTTAACTAATTTGATTAGATTAAGGTAGGTAAGTTGGTTAATTATAAGAAAAGTGACACATTTTTTCTAAAACACCATAATCATCTTTCTTAATACCCCATCTCCCTCTTCTATTTGATTATGGTTGAGGGAGTATCCATAGGGGTAATTTAGAGAAAATTGATAAATATGAGAAATGGGTCTTATATTTAGGATCAAAACCAACTCAACAATTGGGTCCTATATTAAGGACCGGAGGAGTAATATTTTTACCACATATTACGTTTTCATCCTATGTAGATCAATTATTACAATATTATCATTATTATACCAAAATATCCATGCCAGCTCCATTTTTTTAAAAAAAATAGCATAAAATATAATTTAGTCAATTAGTTCTTAAAATTACGATTTCTTGCCTTTTCGAATTCAAAATACAATGAAATTTAAGCACGAAAATAATTTCAAACCATCGAAACCTTTGAAGCAAACTCACCTGATTGAGTGCTCTTTTTGTATAGAATACAAACCAATTGCATTTTTCGTTTCTTTACAAAGCTGCACATCACTTTCTTCATTGACAAGAAAAACAAATTAAATTAATATCACAATGTTTTTACAATTTACTTTCCCTAAATTTGGGGAGGTAAATTATCAATCCCCTCTGGTTGTAACATTTATTCTGAATTCTCCATTGACAGCTTCCTTAGCACCCCAAAACATATATACTGTCTAGGCATATAGCACATATAGAAGAATACCTAAACCAACGCATCATGAAAGAAATGGAAAGAATCCATTCCTTTTTATTCTACCAACTTCAGCCATCCATGATGAATCTTCTTCCCTCTTTCCCCAGGTGATCATATACAAAATTTCTTAGGGCTTGCTTTCTGCAAACCCCTAGAAAATCTCTGGACTAATAATTGGGAATAGTATAACCTATTCTAACACGACCAACATAAACTATAAGAAAATGAGCTTCAAGGAAAAATGGAAGCTCAGAGGACTACTTTGAAGGAAATTCTTTGAGCTGCATTAGTTGTATATTTGAGCATAAGCCAGAAAACCATTAAGCAAAAGAAGCTCAACATCTGCGTTTCTTGCCATCTTGTTGCAGAATCCTGCGATGTGGAAAAAGAGGCAGGATTATTGTCAAATATATATGCAGCCGTTTATGCTAGACAATGGATTGTTGGTGAAGAACAATAGAAAACTATTGAAAAAGCTAAACGACAATTCTTTAGGACATTGCGCTATCTGAGCTTGACAAATTATATCCCAAGAGGTTGTTCAGCGATAGCAAAAGAATGAAAATTGTCTTTTTTTTTTTTTTAAAAAAAAACAATGGCCATCATGGCATCATGAACTGAATCAAAAATTTCTAAGCATAATATATGAAAAGCTCATCATCCCATTACCACATGGATCACCTTATTCATCGTCTAAAGCACTATAAAATAAAAATCACTAAGCTACCAAATCATGGTATTCAGATTGCATACAGAACAGGAAAAAAAAAATGAGAACTCACCTGAATCAAACAGATATAACGAGTCAACCATCATAAAGACACTATGCTGGTTGACTGGAGCTGTATTGTATTCACATTTTCGGAGTCCTGTAGACATATCAATTACAAAGTTAAAAAAGGATAAAGAAAAATATATCTTCAGTTCTAATACAATCAAAATTTTATAAAGATTACCTCAACCAACAGATCTTTTCTGGTTATCAAACCAAGAACACGAGATGGGCGAGGAACAACAAATAAATGCCTCAAACCTAGTTGGCGGAAGAGATTGTAGACCTGTGTTGTCAACAAGAATTAATGACTATACAACAAAAAATGGAGATTGAAATAAGTACTTGATGGATAAATATCACACACCTTTGTCAAAGACATATCCTCGGGTACAATATATGGTGAGGGGTTCAAAAATGGGGCAAGATCTACGTACATTTCTAAGTCGTCTGAACTTAGATGTATATCATCTATAGAGATTCCTTTACTAGAAACAGGCTTTGTGAATTCATCAGAATGATGCCTGAAAAGTATGACGAACCTTCAGAATATAGAAGAAGACGACCAAGTCAAGAGTGTTCATCAAGCAATACCTTATTGGGTTGGCCACGCCTTTGGTATCACCAGGTATAGGAATATGCTGGAAATCAATCTTTGACTGTAGAATTACCAATAGATGACTGCACCCAAATATAGGTATAGGAACTTGAGAATTCAATAAATGCAAGCTCTTGAATTGAACGCCCAACCAAATAGAAAAATAGACAGAATAGAAGAAATTCATATCACCTACGAAGCACTAATCCAATAACAAGTGATTCTCCACTTCTTGTGTGATCAATGACCTGTGCATTGTGAATTATAAAACACAATTTAAACACTGAAGGAATTAAAAATTAAAAGGTGTCATAATAATAGCTATACATACAGGAAAACCATTGTGATCATTGCTCCGCAAAATGGAAACTACATCTGCAACCTTGACAACACGGGGAAAAGAAACCACCTTTGACAAAAATAGCTAACCATAAGATCGTTTGCCAGGGGAATATTTAAAATGCAAAGCATGTGAAATATAAATCAATAGGAGCAAATCCAGTGACAGAGCCTACACACACACACACATATAAAGTTGATCTCCTTCAACACAAGACAATTAACAGCCTCATTTTCCTAAGCCATGGATATTTGAAAGGATCTGGAATGACCAGTAGCTTGCTTCCTTTAAAGTTGGCTGGCACAAACATGTTTTCCATGTTCCTAATGGTTTCATTGCTGGAAACTTTCACAGTGCAACATAAATTCCTTGACAGGCAAAAAAAAAAAAAAAATACATTTTCTCAAGAAAAATTAATTAGGTATTTACCCTTCTGCTGCCACAGGCCTCCTTGGCTGTCATATTCCGCATTTCATATTTAGGCCTTGATTCAAGCAATGGAATTCCCTTTAGTCGGGCCTGCTCTTCGTATAACCCCTCATTAAAAGCATCACCAACAGCCTGTAGTGGAAAATACTTAGGGCATTTTAAAGTGGTTCTTTGTTGACAGGGGAGTTCAAGACATATATACCTTGGATATAAGGAGAACAAGCATAATAAGAGGTAAGAGTTGTAAGTTATTTGTTATTTCAACCATAATGACACAGAGGGACACTGTCATTCGCATTGAACCTCCAAGAAAAGATGCAGCTCCCAATAAAGCATACCTGAAGACATAAAAGCACCACATATAGAATTCAGGGCCAACAGAGAGCGCACTGGTGTTGCAAATTTTTCTTAATAGAAAAATCAAGTCTATGCAAAAATATATGCCCATAAATAAAGAGCACGACCCCATCACCAGTCAAGAGAGAAGCAAAGAAGATATGATTGCCAAATATAAAGACAAACAACATAAAAAGCCAGGGCACCAACAACATAGACATCCTACTACATGGTTTTGTCAGCCAGATATTCAGAAAGAGGGTACATCTTCCTTAGACAGCAGAAAAAGGGATTCTATAAATGCAGTCGTGTTTTTATGTCCTTTTAATCATGTTTATAAAGAAAAGCAATCAGCAAACACTTACGTTCCCTCTTCAATGTTGAGCTTTCTGTAATATTTCACAACAAGCATGCCAACAAGACGTCCATATGTTGATCCTATCATGATTCCAGGAACAAACTGACCAGCTGGAACTGCAGTACCAAATGTCACAACTGCTAGAGTATAAAACATAACCTGCCATGTGTGAGAGAAAATAATCAATATAGGAGCAATCAAAGCATAAAAGGTGCTGACTCCGTCCCTTTAATGAACATGATGATAGATTATTAAGCGGCTATACATACATTCAGATTAGAAATGGCATTATTTACTATACATCAAAAAAAAAAAAAGCCTTTTGCAACAGACTTATAAACTAGAAGCATGGACTCTCGGACATAATATTAAATTGAACATGACAAACTGGCAAAATCTCTAGTGTGTATATATAATTCAAAATATTGCAATTCTAGCATCAGATCTGATATATTGAACATGGACAAAGCTCCTCTTTCAAAGTTACCAACCTTCATAACTTGTAAAAAAATTAAAAGAGGAGACAGAAAAATTTTAGTTGACAGATCTATTCTTGAAAAGTATATCTAAAACCAAAAAAAAAAAACAGAGAGAGAGAGAGAGAATCAGACACAAGCCAGACGTTCCTCTTGTAATATACAAAAGCAAGGAGAATAAAATGTCCCATGTATGAGGAGTTCAAAGCATTAAGTGAAGAATGCAGTACCAAAAAGGTCAATAAACTTTGGGGACTGTACTCATGTATTGTTTTTGCACTAAACAAATTCCTTATGGCATCATCCTGAAACAAATGAAAAGTAACTTATGTGTCAAAGGAACTAAGAGAGAAAAATAAACAAAGATTTCCAGCGATCCATTCAAAACCTGTGTATTGAAGAAAATTGTGGCAAGATCATTGTATTCCTTGTCTTTGCTACAGAAGAACTGCAAAGGGCAAAAAATCACAACTCAATCTCGAAGGCTCGAAACACAATTTCAATCAACCTTAAAAACGAGATAGCATTTGGACAAATACTCTCCCATTAATGATAGTTTGTAAAGATAAATCTTTGCATATTTGACATCATAATTAACCCGGCATAAATATATCTCACAAAGTTCTGAACTTCTGGTTACATTATTTTCAAAAGCTCAACTCAGCATTTTCAAAGCTATAGGAGGGCAAAGTTTTTGGCATAGGATTAAATCCTTCGAATAAGTTGTCAACCCTTGCTGCCCCCATTCTCCTGATTAAATTATAATTTTAGCTCAAGGCAAGGGTTAACCTAGCACGTGAATAGGAGTTTTAGATTTAAACATATTCCGGAGCTGACACCTGACGGCTTTACCCTCCAGAATAGTTTGTTTCTCTTTCTCAGTTTGATTTTAGATTCAGAGTTTCACAAGTGCTTTGATGTTGAATTCATATCTCCCAGTTTCAACTGTCGTCAAGCTTTCTTTTTTAATCAAAGAAGATTTAATGCCAAAAGAGAGAAAGGTGAGGAAACAGAAGATAATATATCCTCCTAAAAGAATGAAACACATGCAAAAGAATCAAAGAGCAGACAAGAAATACATCAGCAAAGCAAAGCTTTTCCTGTATTAAAAATTAGGATTATATAGATTGTGGCTAAATATAATTGAAACTCAACATAAACACTGGTTCAAGCAAAATTATTTAAAGAATAAATAACTGTGCGCCAAAAAAATGAAGAATAAAGAACCTCAAGGACACATAAAGAAGGACGAGAAGTCTTACATTTACATAATTCCCATACATTCCAGGTGGTCGAGGACATTCAATAACAGAATCAGAATGAGGACCAGATTCAGGGCATGGACTACATTTTCTTAGGAGCGGCAAACCAAATGAAATAACCGAAGTTAACAATGAGACAAGGCATGCTTCAATGATCTGTAAGACAGGGAAAGGTATGAAGAGGACAAAACGGACAAAATGTCCTGCAGAGTAAACATTACCTACTGTACAATAAACTGTATCTTCATTTAAGTTCTTGCTGATGTTCTTTTTCCCTACATTTTTCCTCCCGTTTTAATTCAAGTAAGGAGGTTCTAGGGAAGATGGTGATAATTGGATCAAAATCAACATCATACCTTGACTCGGCCCCCTTTCTTGTGTAAATGATTTCGACGCCAAGAAGTCACATAAAGAGTAAGCTGGTTAAACAAGGCTCCTGCAAAAACAAATTTTTTTTTTTTTTGGCACTAGGTTGATGATAAGCAACTGAAATCACCAGACAAATTAAGTTCAGAACAAAGGTAATAATACCTACCTAGCAGTCCTCCAATAACCCCAATAACAGCCATTGGCAGTAACTCAGCAAATGAATAATCCTCTTGACCACTACAAGTAAATCGGGTCAAAAAGGTGAAATAAGAAGTGAAATTTCAGTACCAAATTGAAGGTAAGAAAAAGTAAAAGCTCATATATCAACCCTGATATATCCCATATGATGAATCCACCGGAGCCAAAATGTCCACATTTTCCACTCTTACACCACCCCATTGCAGTACGCACCACAACAGCCACAACGGCAGAAGTGAAGAAAACACGCCACATCAGTTGACTTCTCCACCTTTAAGTGCAACCAAAAAATAATAATGTACAAAATTAGATTCTTGCACCAGTAAGAGTGCATACTCAGCAGGTTCTGCCAAATAAATAAGCATATACGAATGTATCAAGGTATTGAAATATGTAAGTTATATCAGTGTCGATGAATCTTTCCTCAACCTCACATATGTGCATTAATAAGTTATAACTATCAAGAAGACATATAAGCTATCTTCAAAACACATACTTCTAAATAAAGAGAATTTAGTAACGAAGAATAAAAAATATCCTTACCAAGATGTTACCTCTTCCAATGCAAACAAAACACCACCAACTGGAGCTCTAAATGCAGCAGCTACTCCAGCCGCACAGCCACAGGTTACCTGCTCAAGACGTCAATCGCATTGGAAATGAGCACCTTCTTTGTGCTTTCAGGATAATAAGAGATGGTGTCCCCCATGGAATTCTAGATTAAAAGGACAATTAATTTACAAGATCTCGCTGATCTCGATCACTTTTGAATACTTGAAACCATCGCGAATTTAGATGATACTTGGCAGATCCACCCTGCTCAATACATGACATTAAAATGTTATTTTGAGTCTTTTCACGCAGACAAACATGTGCCCACAACAGAAAGCATATGAAGCTCAACTTCTGAAGCTAAAATCAATTGGGATGCTAAATTTCATCCATATAGGTCTAACTGCAAACTGGATACAGATCAATACTACAACTCTTTGAGATATCCATGGATTAATTTAGATCATGAATCTAGAGATAACAGCATTGAACTAGAATAATTACTTTCCAATGAAATGTGAATGGTTATGTTCAGAAGTGGAAGATGAACTTCCGTATATTGGTAAGATGCGAAGGGGGGAAATCATAGGAAAAGCAGGAAAATCACAAATGTCTTGACTCTTAGAATATATAATAAAGTAGCTGCAGGCCAAGCAACATGCGCTGCCCTAGATCTATGTTGCGAAAATAAATCTTTCCTTAGGTTTTAATCTCTTAACAATACATATACTCACATTTGTTCATTCTTAATGCTACTATATTTCTCTATGATGATAGGGGCAATGGTTATAAATAATTAACTTATATCAATGCACCTAGAGAAAATAAAAACCATAATCTCATTTAAATATTTGAGTTTGATAAAATATCAGAAAGAGATGGGTGCAAAATCTACTGCATCCAATATCTTAAAATTAACGTTTAATATAACAACCTCAGTTCTTGCCTCCATGTGGCCCACAAAGGCGGAAAGGTGTAGTAATAATTACAAACAACACTGAGCACTGAGCAATATAGGCTTACTTGTCCAAGCAAAGAAGCAATACAAGCACCAGTATGCACAAGAGGGCCTTCTTTACCCAAAGCAAGGCCACCTCCCACTGAACCAATGCTTCCAAATATCTGTTAGCCACTAGAGGAATCTCAGAATTAATAGCAAAAACATTTATCTAAAGATTATTAACCAAAAAGAAAAAGCACAATGCAAATCATCACACCTTTCCAATCAAGGTTCTGAGAAGAAGGATGCCATGAATATCAGCTCCTGCTCATGAATGAGAATCAGAACTCCCAACATACATCAGACTTTTAGAGAAGCAAGCAAAACACATGCAAGGACACATGTAATGTTCATCTTACCATTCAGGTAACCCTTGATTTCAGGAATACCAGATCCAGCTGCTGCTGGAGAAAATTGTGTGATAACATAGACAGAGGAATAGACCAAAACCAAGTTGATCAGGACATATACAAGAAAGCCCGCCAAATAAGATTTCTGAATTATATGAAATGTCAATGAAAACTTCCAGCCAGCGAAGTTTTCAACAGATATATTGATGAAAACAGCGGCAATTCCAGTACCTGCAAAACATTGGATGAAACACATACATATCAACAAACTTTTAACATATATGAGAAAGCTAGGGATGTATAAGGTACATGTAAGGCATAACATAATTAAGCTTTACGCCTATGTCTCTTTTTTGGCGTTCCTTCAATGAATACCAATCAATCTCACCAAGATACAAGTTCTTGCCTCCTATAAAGTCTGAATAAGGTTGATAAAAAAAGAAGCTTTATGTAATTAGGTATACAAACAATGAAGGAACTAGCAGATGGATTATAGACATGAAATTATCAAACCCTGTAAATAAAATCTGTCTCCACGTCAAATTTCTTATGCACGTGCCAGCCATGGAATTTTATCAACATTTCTGCTAATTAATTTGGATTATCTATGGCAGAAAATAATTATAAGAATAATTGCTATATAAACACGAAACGCTTAGTGCACAAAACAGGAAGGCTAAGAAAAAGAAAATAAACATGAAAAAAAAACGATTTTCAGAATTGAAAAAAAAAATATCATCTTATCTGCATTAAAATAATAATTTAAAAATATAAACAATTAAAAATAACTGCAGGCGCATGATAATCAATTAAAAAAACAAGTATCTTTCTAGCCACATACCAAACGAGCCATTAATCATTAAACCATTGCGACTCAGAATCAGTGCCCAAAAAATTGAAATTACTACAATATACATATTCACTTCAAGGTTGAGATAGAAACTCAAACAGCAAGAAGAAGAACGTACCAATGCCTATGAGCAAAGCAAAGAACCATTTCACCACTAACAAATAGCCCACAAACAGCTTCCCCCTAAGCGCCTATCCATGTCAAAGTACGGAAAAATAATCATTTAATTAGCCAGGAGGGGGAAAAAAAAAAAGGAAGTCCCAACAAAACCAAGCATAATTGAACTAGAATGAACGAGAAACCGAAATAGCAATAGCAAGAAAGATGGTAGATAATCAGGGGAACCTGTTCTTCCCGATAAGCATAATTCTCTATAACTTCATAGTCAAGGCTCTCAACGCCGCTTCCATCACTCTTCTTCAACAAGCCAACAGTGTCGTCCGCGTCCAGGGATTCGTCCGAGTTCGGAATTCGCGACCAAACGAGCTTCGCCGTTTCAATACCGTTCTGGAAATGATTCGCCAGCATCGTCATCAATTAGAATCAAACCACCGACCAAAGATCACGACCCAGAAACCCAAAACCCGCACGGCATAATCCTAATTTATCAAAATCAGAGAAACAGTTGACATAAAAGGCGAGAAGTCGCTGCTCTTTCTTCCAAATTCCGCAGCAAGGAACACAGAGAGAGAGAGAGAGAGAGACTAAACTTGCTCTGTGTCGTGAAGTGACGACAGTTGATGTGCTATTTCGTCGTTTTCCTGGACGACCGTAGAACTTCCACGTTGAGAAGGTCAGCAAGCTCCGCCGCGTAAACGGTGTACGATGGGACGTTCGTTGGAGCTATAATTCCATGCGGACGCGGGAGAAGGAGTTGTGATTGGGATTTTTCAGTTTTGTTGCGTGCCATTAAAGTCAAACACAGATGGTATTCACGATGAACGGCTAATTAATTCTGTTTATCTTGCGCGAGTCTTCCATGTTATTTGACCCATACAGCTTGTATGGTCCCCGTCAGCTTACATCTTGGGTCAATGTCTGCAATATCCAATACTGACTCATATCTTTAATTAATTAAATGTAATGATTTGTGCAAATTTTAAATATTTTTACTGTAATTTAATCTATGATTGAAATCTGAATCTTTATAATATGACTCACCCGCACGGCCATATGATAATGCTTATACATGTGTTGTTCACAAATGATTCTTTGGTCCCGAGCCGCCCCACATTTCCAATAAGCAATAACTCATTCATAAAAAATATAATAATTTTACTAATAAAAAATGCTAAAATAAATCCCAGCCCCCCGTTCTGAAAGTAACTTTCAGATTGACCCGACCCATTGTATCTAGAGCTGGGAATCAAGGTCAGCCCTTCAGGGCTGACAAGCTTAAAATGGTCAGCCTTCCAGAGCTGAAATTTTAAAAATACCCTAATTTGTTAGGCTCGGCCTTTAAGCTACAAGACTCAGGACCGGCCCGCGGGTTTTTGACCCGTTTAAGAAAAAAAATATTATTTTTTATATTTATCATATTTTTTATAAAAAATAAAAATAAACCAATAAAATTATTAAAAAAAGACATAAATATAAATAAAATTAAGTCACAAATATAAAATATCATCATATATAAATATTCATCAACATCTAAAACATTCATTAACAAGATAATAACATCCAATAGTTTTATCTATAGTGCAATTGTGCAATAAATAAACACTATCATTAATCTTTTGAAATTTCATCATCACTATAATTAATTACTCTTCTTCATAAATATGCTTTTCTTTCGTAACAAAAATATCAAGTTTTTCTTCTTTATAGGAATTTTACTTTTAAATTTTACAATCTAGCTATTATTTTACTTTAATGTGAGAAACATTGTTGTTGAAACTCAGGAATTTCTAATTCAAATTATAGAATCACAAGTTATATAAGTATAAAAATACTCTATTATCAAATATATAGTTTAAAAATATCAACGCATATAATATAAATCAAATCATTATTAAAGTCCAAATTAAACTATTTTTTAAAAATTTAATTGGATAAATTATTGTCTAACACTAAATTTAATTTTAAAATGATAATAATAACTAAATATTTGAAATATTATTAACAATGTAAAAAATTAATAACATTAGAATTATAAAAAAAAATTAAAAACAAAAAAAATTATAAAAGAGCTTAAAAGGACCAGCCCGCGGCCCTCCAGGGCTTATTTCCCATTTGAAAGGAAAAATATCAAGCCCTGCCCTCATAATTTCATAGCCTAAACAAGCTGGCCCGACGGGCTCGGCCTATTTTCCCAGCTCTAATTGTATCTGCGTCCTACTTTGGTTCCAAACGTTGAAAAGATTAAAAAAATTAAATAAATTATTTTAAAATATTTATATTTATTTTTTAAAAATTAATTTGTCTTATTTATAAATTGATATGTAATTTAATGATATACATAAATATTCTAAAGAGATGATATAATTAAATTATTTATTTAGCCTCCTTAATCTCTCCAAATTAATCAACTAAATCTTATATTAAGCATTAAAGGTAGTATACTAATACTCTTCTAGTCCTTAAAATATAACATAATTCTTAAATTGATTTTAGTCCTAAATATAAAACATATTTCTCATATTTATCAATTTTTTTTAAATTATTCTTATGGATCTCCCTCACCCATAATCAAATAGGAGAGGGAAGAATGATATTAAAGAAATTGATTATAGCGTTTTAGAAAAAATATGTCATATTTTTTATAATTAATTAACTTACTTAACTTTCTTAATTTAGTCAAATTAGTTATATAAGTCTTATATTAAGATTCAGAAGAGTATAATATATGTTGGACTTCAAGTGCGGGTTTATTTTAATTACTAGGATTTTCCAAAATAAAATATATATTAAATTATGATTTAATCACTATCCATAGTATGGTATTTATTATGAAATTATTAATTTTTCCTGATGATAATTAAAAGAGAAAACGGAGCAAATAGATTAAATAAAATATTACCTCTAGTCCTAATTATAAAAACTTGTTTATAGACTAAAAACGAAACGTTATAATTAGGGGATGAGGTAGGATTGTATATAGGAAAAACACTTGGCAGATTAGAGTGAGATGCAAAGAATGAGTGCTTGGACCACTGTCAGAAGTGGCGCCGTGGCCACTATGGAAGAGGCAAAATTGAATCAGAACGCACTAAATGGGAAAAATATATATCATTGTTCTTCGTCAGTGGAATTATCAAGAATTAATAATCTTGATAAATTTGTAATAAAAAATATTTACGTAAATTGGGTTCTAAGACTAAAAAAGAGCCCAACAAAATAACGAATAATTACAGAAAAATTTACAAAATACACAAAAGTAAAATTATTAATAATAAATAATATTACATATGGTCACATTGAATTTAAAAGTGTATGGTGCTTTGGCCTCATAATTTTATATCTCTCAACAAGCAAAAATTTAGCGATACTGAATTTTTGAAGTAAATTTTATTAAAAATAAATAAATTTACATTGGATACATTTCAAATGTATTTTTTCAGTTCTTTATTAAGAAACATTTGTTTTCCAATTTATTACAAAAACTAGTGTAGAGGAAAATCTCGAACTCCACTAAAAACATGACGAGTTACCCAAAAAAAAAAAAAACACATCCAATTCCTCGCAAGTAAGTAATAAATGTTTTTTCGGTGAAAAAAAATTTTCACCACTTAATTTAAATGCTCATGTATTTCTTAAATAATAAAAATATTATATCGCTGTATTTAGATCCCTTAATTGAAACTCCTTTAATTGGAGTCTCAATTACAAAAAAAAATTAATCAACATTTGTGATTTAATGATAGTGAGAGATGAGTTTTAATCCATCCTCCTTAAAAATCAAACAAAAATTTTTATTTCAACATCATTAAATTATAATTTAATACTTAATATTTCTCAACTAATAAGAGCTTCCAAATTCTCACATTGTGTGGAAATAATATATCTAACGTTTGTGGCCACTCTTGACTATAATAATAATGAGATGGAATCTTGGAATCCTGCCGAACTTCTAATTCCTTTATTAAAAACATTTCTATCCCTTTTTCTTAGAGTGGAAGATATGAAAATCAATATCAATATAAATTAATCAATATATTAATATCAATATAAATTTCAAATTGTATGTCAAATCACATTATTCATAATTAGCCAAAAACCTTTAGTGTTATTATTATCTCGAAATAAGAGAAATAGAACAAAAATTAGTATCAATATAAATACAAATTATAAAATCTATAAAGAATGTATTACTCGCAGCCATGCAAAATTAATATACGTTGAGGTCATTCATCTTTTTTTTTTTGGCGATCATGCGCAATCCCACCGAATTATAAGGGTTAATCACATTAAATCCCACAAAAAGTAATTCTATAATGAAGAAGTCCCAATAAAATTTGAAATTAGTTTATTATGGATCAAAAGACTAATTGGAAATTAAATTTTTTTTGTCCAATAGTGAAATGCAATTCATCTATTTTAAAAAAAAAAAACCATCCCTAAGAGTGATAATATGAGCTAACCCGTAGGTTGTAGATCAAAGATCAACCCGTGACGAGTTTGAATTATACAGTATGAGTTGCAAAAGTCTCGTATAATATGGTGGGTATAATATGGTGGGTTGGCCACTGTGGTGTGTTGATAGGTTAGCCTGTCAACCCACAAATTATTACTTTCTAAAATATTTTTTATATATATAATATAAAGAGAACATAATAAAAAAAAATTCTTTCATTCAAATACTTGATTGAAAACACCAAATAAATGATTTTTTTTAATATATAATAATATAATTATAATAATTAATAAAATTTAAAAATATAAAAATAATAATAATAAATATAAGTTAGCCTACCAGTAGACCGGCTAACTTACGACAAGTTATAAGTTAGGCACTGTGGGTAAAAAAAAAATATTTATTAACAAGATTAGTACAAATCCAACTCATTACCAGCTCTAATTACTATCATCACTAAGTAACATTGATGGCTATATCATCCCCAGAGCTTCGAAATTCTAGTTGTAGAATGTAAGATTTGAAAATGAGCAGATCATTTGCAATATAAAATGGACTTTCATCGGAAGTAAACGATGGCCACTCGAATGATTGCCACTCGCATATATGATGTATCTAATGCAAATGCTGGGTGCAGTGATCCAGAGGCACGACGGTTCAAATATTGATCGCAGGGCGTATTCATACAGAGTCAACTAAAATGTTTACTTTTCATGATACTTAATGTAAGAACCAATTGGCTAATTTGATTAGGTTAAAAAAATCAATTAAATTAGTTATTTATAATAAATGTCGTTATTTTTAAAATATCCTTACTAATCAATATTAGACTAGAACTATCATTATTACAAGAATTACTATAAAAAAAATAAATATGAAAAATATAGTAAATTAGGATTTTACATTCAGGAACAAAATAAAAATCAAACGAGCTATCATATTAAAATCAGTAAGAACTGGAAGTAGTATCAAAATTATTTTTATTCGCATATTTCAGTACATTCCCCTCAGGGATCAGTGTTAAAATTTAAGTTAAAAAAGGCCCCCCAACAAAAAAAAAGAAAAAAGGATAATAGTACCAATGTGTTAGAAGCTAAACCAACACAGCCAGAGCGCATGTTCCCGAATGGGTTTTCTTCTCAATTCTGATTTCTGAGCCATTTCGTGACTTTGAGTATTTGTGCAATCTATACTTTGTCCTCTGAAGATTAATTAGTACGATCATGCTATAATGCAATTAGAACAGCTCCATTAATTGCCGTGTAACATCTGCATCAAATTGAAAATCATAACAAATGGTTAATAAGAAGCAATTTAAATTTAAAATTTGAAATAAAAAGGCTAGGAACAGTGAATGTCAGCTCTCTCTGTTTCAGACTTTCAGTGTGTTTGTGTGCAGAGTCACCCACAGATGCTGGGAAACACCTGAATAGGGTAGAAAACTTTTACCATAAAAGAGTGCAGACCCACTGCATTCTGGGGGAGATATGTAGTGTCCGCACATCTATCTTGCATGGTCTAGATTTAATTTAGATGGTTTAAATCTTATCGTTGCTTTTCAATTTTTTGTTGAAATCACCATTTTTTAAATGCTGATTGAAAAATTGTATTTGTTTCACATTACGCTCCCTTCAAAATATGGGGGAAAATATATCATCCAAATTAAATCTAGGCAATCTAGAAAAAGTTTGCACACTCATGAGCATGGCATCTAAGTTTTTTCCTTAAGCTAGCTATTGAGATAGAAAAACTAATCTAATCAAGAGGCTAAGCGCATGTTTGGTTTCCCAATACAAACCACCAAAACCATGGTTTCTAAGATAAAACCAAACACTCAGACCACTCAGCATAGTGGTAATGATTCTGCAGTATCCTAAATCCATCATGTACAGACACATTAGTAATTTCTTTTTCTTCTTGGTAATAATAAGTTAATTAGCTGAGAGTTAAATTAAAGGTGTCAAGTGTGTGGAGCACCTTGAAGAATGGATGGAGTTGTCTGAAACTCGTGCCAGATATTATGACAAGCAGCAAGATCCATGCCCAGAAACTTGGCTGCAAGAAACGCAGCACCAGCAGCAATATGATGGGGTTTAAACTGAAGCCATAGAGAGCTTCGAAGCCTGCAAAACATAACATTCTTCAGCTTCAAAAGACCGAGATATATATAAGGCATACATCACTTCTACTTCCATTCACCAGAATTATTCAGCACAAGTAGAGATATAGAAATTATCAGACTGACCATTTCGAGAACAGATTCTTCTATAATTTAGCACATATTCCCATGACTGACATCATGTCAGCTTCTAAAATGAACATTCATACCAAGTAAAAAACACAAGTTTATTAATTTTACCTTACCAACTAGAAAAGCAGCAACTCAGGAAGAATATCATTGTCTGCAGGATCGCCGATACAGTACATATTATAGCAATATTTAATAGTCATCTAGAGAGTTTATCAGACTTGCAGGCCCAGACGTGCTGTGTGGGAACTCCAGAGATCTTATGCAATTAAAACATGGAAACATAAAAGGCTGGGCTGCACAAGAGACATGACCCTCGTAGTTTTCCTCCCCATCATTAAATTTGTTCTATGTACAAATGCCCACTTTTGAATAATTTTATTATTGATTCAGATTGTAGAAAAATCATCTACATCCAAATTTTACAAGTTGTTTGTCACATTTCTCTTTTTCTGGTTTTGGATTATCAGATCTAATCAGACCAACATGGTCTTCAGACCATGATCTTCTTTTCACCCACGTTTATATAGACACAATTGCCTCCACCCCACAAAAATACAAGATCCTCTACAGTAATAGAAGCGACCGTATAATATATCTAGACAAAGATGAGGCGTAAGGAGAATGGGTGAAAAGAGAGGGTGGGTCCCATAAAGAGTCTCACTTCTTTGATCACTTTCTTTCTGACAACATAACTGCAAAGAATCTACTAAAAAATTGAGGAGGTACAGATAAGCCATTGGCTAAAGGTCTCCGGCATAAGGATTGAGGGTTGGATAAAAAAGGTGGGTTGGGGTACTGTGACTATCTTGGGTAGCCCCAAAACTAAGTTATGGGATGGCACATAACCAGAGGCTAAGCAAACCATTAGACATCAGCAGTTCTACATCAGATGCAAAACAAAACTTTCCAAGAACAGCATATCAATGATCAACCCTCCAGCTAAGAATATCATACAGGCCAGCATGTTAATCTTGTGAAGACCCTGCAATTGTATGCATGCCAAAAGAATCAATATCCAAGACAAAATAACTACAGAGCAGTTGCTCTAATATATGCATTAAGAGAATGAACACAATCTTGAACCAAAAATAGACTTGGGACACAAGGTCTCCTTGGCCACGTGTTCTCCATACATCAAAAACATCCATTATCCTGTTCCACAGACTAAGCTTTTCAATCCAATCACACCAGATCAGAAAGCATTATATAGGCATGAAAGATGGAACATGTTGAAGGTGTCTAAGGTTTGATGCAAGCCAACTCGTTTTTTCATCAAGCTGAGTAAAACAACTAACACCGATGCTCCATCTGCAGAAGATATCAATCTAATTAATTAATAAATGGGAAAGATAACTCACCCATCACTTATTAATTGTAATGCCAGAGTCACTAAAGCAGTCTGTGATAGGCCTAATTTGGTAAGAACAGAAGTAAGCGGGGCATATGGATGCTGCACATTGAGTTCAAAGTTCAAAGTAGTCAGTATCAATGTCTCAGCCTCAAGCACCCGTTCACGATATTGTTCAAACCAATCCTGTGGAACAAAAACATAGCATGTATTGTATCAGTCAATGTGATTTTGAAGTACAAATATCGTTTTAAGATTATTCAAGAAGCTTAAAGTTACAAACATATATACAAACCTAAAGAAAGAAATATGAACTAATGCGACGTAACTCACCACAGGAAGATAAGGCAGAAAAGCATAATTTTGCTGGTGTAAGATTTCACTAGACGCCTGTAAAACATTGTTCAAGGGACGCGGTGTGTCCTCAGACTTTGAGGCAAGAAAAAGCGTGGCAGTAGCAATCAACTGCACCAGAACAAGATCAACATTGGTATAAAGTATAAACTTGTTCAAATTTAAAGGTTCAACTGAAAAAAGAAGAAATAAAAAAGATAAAGAAAAAGAAAAAAGGGAAGAAGTTTTAACGATAAAACAATTCAAAGAAGTACCTAGTAACAAAGTAGATACTTATACTGAGAAAACAATACAATACTCACAAATCTGTCATGGCAAGCATGTGATCTTCGAACGAAAAAACGATGGCACAGAACCATGGCTGTCCCAATGGTAGTTTGAGGCCTGTAACGGAACATGACATCATTTTACACTAACGCCAAGGCAATGGATTATGTTCAAAAAGTCATATGACCCCAGCCATGTCCCGAACAGCATTATCAAAGAAACCATAAATCTCCAAGAAAATGATAAAACCTTAACATAAAGAGGTTAAAAAGAAATCATGCAGCAAATCTTACAGCTCCAGCCGCATTCCAAGATCCTGAAGGAAGGCACAATACGAATAACGCAAGTTTGTCTCGTGAAGTGCATCAATACCATCTTGTCTTGATGGTGAGAATCTATCAATCTCATCCTTTGAAAGAAATACTAGGTCTTCGTCTTCGAATCTAGAGCATTCAAGCTTGCAACTAGCTGATGTAGAAGGGACACTGTCATGAACAGTGGTTGGAAGATAGTACCTCCAGCAGTTTTCCCAAGTAGAAGCTGAATGTTTCCTCCTCTTCAGTGATGACTGAGCGGCATTTTTTAGCTTCATATACGTAGGATAATCTGCCCTGTGAAAATTAGAATTGCCACTGTGCTCCCCACATTTTGCCCAGTAGTCATAGTAATTTCCATAATTCCAATTATTGTAGCTATTCCTACTTCTCTTTCTATTGGTATTGCCACAGTTATTTACACCAAAGGTGGACCAATAAGCACCAGGGAAACCATGTCCTTCCCTCGGAAAATTCACCGCTAGAGACATTTTACTGCAAAATGACACATTCCAGAGAGTTAGAATCGAAAGTAATGCACTTATAACTTCACCGCAACCATGCTAATAAAAATTAACAAACCATCAGTTTCTGGACTATAATATTTTTCCTCCATTTAAGAATTTTAACATGCCACGAACAATCAATTTTCAAGGAGTACAAGGACACCTGAAAGGAATACAAGTTCCTCTAACAACAACCTATGGTCTGATATCGAATTCCCAATTCTCGATTAATGATATATGTATGCGTGTGGCACGTTTAACGAGGACAAAAGCAACACAGAATTTTAAATGAATTATGGCAAATAACGCCAAGAGAAACAAAATAAAAAGAAAAAAACAGATTTTGAAGATGAAGGTTACACATCGAAGATCCCGTCGTTAAAATTTCCAGTGATCAAGCTATCGGAACAACCTCTAAATTGAAACAACGCGTAAAACATTACTACGCTCACCTGATTGATTAGCGATGAAACTGATCTCGTAGAAATAGGCCTATGATTCAACAATCAAGATGGTAATTGAAATGAGAAATTAGGGTTTTGAAAGGAGAAAGAACAATAAATAACTTGCCTTGGAAGGTCAGAGAACGAAAAGGCAGCTAAAAACCATAGGCGCTCTATATAGACCACGGACTCTCCGTATAGAATAAAGATAATTTTTTTCACCTTCATTTGTTGGGGACATGGCATCCAGCATCTATTAATAATTGGTAATTGGTAATTAATATAATTTGAAAGAATTTGAGTTCCTCCGCATGAAATTTAAGTATTTAACCACCATTGATAATTTTTTTTTATGTTGTTTAAATTTTAAATTTTTAAATTTTTCATTGAAATTGTTCTCATTTTTAAGAAGACCCGTGCATGCGCATGAAGTAGCCATGTAATTATATATTTTGTATTAATGTTTAGATAAAGGGTATCTCATCTAAGGAATTAAATTTTATCTTATCATATATTATATCATGAATCCCAAATATTTTTAATTTATTTTGTGACTTAAAATTTATAATTGAAATCTCCTACTTTTATTTTTCCATGCCAGTTGATACCAAACATATACTACCTCCAGTTCTAATTATAAGAACTAGTTAATTAATTTGAGGAAATTAAGAAAAGAAGTTAAGTTAGTTAGTTGTAATAAATAAGTGTTGTTTTTTCTAAAATATCCTTACTAATTAAGTGTATTAGTTAGAACTATTATTAGTAGAAGGGCTATCTTGAAAAATACATAAATATGATAGACAAAGTGGATTGTGGTATTATATTTAGAACCAAAATAAAAATCAAATAATATCTTATATTAAGGACCAGAGATAGTATTAACAAACTTGCAATATTATTCACTGATGAGATTTTTATTACAAGATTTAATCGAAGAATTGCATCTAAGGATCCAAGCAAACTGATCTGGCTAAGTTTTTTTCCTTTTAATTTTGCGTAATTGAATCCTATTTTTTATAAACAAAAAAAAAGAATATTACAGTTGAAAGATCTTTTATTTTTTTAACTTTGGCCCTATTAAAATAACAAAATATTAAAATATAATAAAAATATAATCAAATTTAAAGTATTTAGATTTAATCTAGATGATCTAGATTTGACAACACCCTAATGCTCCTAATCTTAATAAGTTTTTTTTTTGCTGCACATAGATTTTTTTTTATTGAATATAATGATATTCAAAATATTATCGGCTACTAAATACAAGCAAAACTTTGAATGTGCTGTTGCTCATGCTCTTGACATGTGTAAAGGTGTATGTTGGGCGTTTGTCACGGAGTGGATTTCGTTGGGTCTATTTTTGTTAGACCAGGTTTTTTAAATTTAGTAATTATTAGGACTAATATTAATTACTTAATGGAAATATTGAATTTTATTCAAACTAATCAGTCCTATCATTATACTGAGTTTTGAATGTCAACAGCTAATCGTGACAACCGCACCGGCCACACTTAAATGATGTTACAAGTTCAAACACCGCATTGACACGTTTGGATGTCTGGATAAGTTTAATTATACTGTACAAGGTCATGTATTTATGTATCATTTGAGATGCTACTCCTCCATTCAGTGTGATTTTAGAAATTCTGAGCATTTCTCCAAGTTTTTCCCTATTTTAAAGTCTTTTTAATAAGATCTTCAATCAAAGTGTAAATCTAAATCTGCCCTAAAAATTTTCAATTAGTATTGGACACTTAAAAATTTCTTTAAGTTTAAATTTGTCTTTTTTAATGTTAATGGAAAGTATTATTATAATTTTAAATTTACGAGACAAGTTTGTATTTAAAAAAATTTGAGTGTCCAACATTAATAAACATAAATTTTTAGGACAAATTCACAATCCGAAGTCTTTAAACAAATCAAAATAAGGTTAACTTCTAAAAACCAAAAAGGAAAATACAATTTTTCGTCTCTCAAATTTAGGCTCATTGGAGTTATGGTTCCTGAAATTTAAGACCAGAAGTATTAGTTCCTGGAATTTATTCCGTTACAAAACGTTAGTCCCTGAAAGTCAGACACTGTTACATTTTGTTGAGTTGGCACAAAGGTGTCAGTTATGATGATTTGGTTTCTGATTTGGCCACATGCCATGGGGAGTTGGGCATTTGACTAGGAAAAAAAAGGGCCTCTATTCAATGGATTCCCACAGACGCGCCTCTTCTTGTCTATTGGTTCCTGGAATCCATAGTCCCCTGGTCTAGTGCTTCAGCTCTTGAATTTGCATCCATTATCCTCGCTTCGTCCACAATGGATTCCCACAAGCGCGCCTCTTCTTCATTTTCGTTCGCTCTAGTCTCTCCCACCGTCACCGACTCTGTTTCCCCAGTTGTTCCCATGGTGGAAAATTGAGAAGAAGCACCGGCGCCAGGGAGGACCATACGGTGGTAGTGATCTGCCCTGTCACAGCACCCATCGCCTCCATCTGTGCCGCTGGCTATTGGTCAGCCTTTCTCGCCACCGCCATTGTTACTCCCAATGGAGGTTGTTTTCCCGCTCGATGAGGAGACCGAGAATGTCTTGATTGCCGATGAATCAAACTTTTTATTCCTCTGAATTTCACTGACGGAGGCAGTCTCTTATTTGAACAAAGGGAAGCTACTCAGCGTGCATCGTCGTTTCCCTCTCTCCTGTGAGTGTTGTGCGAGTGCGACAATGCGTTTTGATTTTGAACAGAGGCCCTCTTTTTTTAAAAAAAATTTTCCTAATCAGGTATCCAATTCCCCTTGCCATGTGGTCAAATCAAAAGCTAAATTATTGTAGCTGATACCGTTTGTACCAACTCAACAAAATGTAACGGCGTCTAACTCCCAAAGACTAATATTTTGTAATGGAGTAAATTTCAAGAATCAATACCTCCGGTCTTAAATTTTAAAAACCAAAACCTAAATGGGTCTAAATTTGAGGGATGACAAGTTGTATTTTCCCAAACCAAAAATACTTGTTTTAAATCTTGAGACCAAAAGTCTTTGTTTTTTTTTTTTGGGTTGGGGTCAAGTATTTTATTAAAAAAAATCCTGTTTCGTACTTGGATGGTTGTACCGATGGCGATAGTCTGATGGATGGCGAAGCGGGCCACAAGTAATGCCGTGGATGATCCGGTGAAAGCATATGGCTCCGCGTGGGATCTGATCCACTTCACCTGACATGTTACCGAACCCAATGAGACGCAGAAACGACGACAAATAAAACAATCTCTTGTTTTAAAATGTAGAAAAATAATTTTACATCTAAACTTATTTATAAAATTTTATTTTTAAAATACAAACAAGATCTTATAATTTAAAATAGAGATAAAACAGACATGCATAATTAGATTTTTAATTTACTACTTCTGATCCTAAATATAAAAGTTCTTTTATGATGCAATTACATAAGTTATAGTCATAATTATACTACAAACTAACTTTTATATTTAAAAGCAGATGTAGTATTATTTTAATAATAGAATTTATTTGTCCGAATTATATTTGTACCATGCGGTGAGTCCAGGTATATCAAATTGTTTGAACTGTTTGCATTTATAATTACATTTAATACAGACTACACATTTTGGGATGAATTAAAAATAAGGACATAGATCTGATTATAAGATACTCTTCTTCCGGTTCTTAAAAAAAGACTAGTTTAACTAATTTGATTATATTAAAGAAGTTAGATAAGTTAGTTAATTATAAGAAATGTGACAAGTTTTTCCTAAAACACCATAATCATCTTTCTTAATACCTCATCTTCCTCCTCTACTTGATTATGATTGAGGGAATATTCATAAGGGTAGTTTAAGAGAAAGTTGATAAATATAAGAAGTGGGTTTTATATTTATGACTAAAATTAACTTAATAATTGGATCTTATATTGAAAATGGGAAGAGTATAAGCAAATGAAGAACAGTCAATTTTGATAATTCGATGCATTGATAAGCACGCATGCCCACCCTTTGGTTTTAAAATTCACATACAAACAAATAATATTCAGTTCTTCAAGCCATCTTTGTGGTGAAGCCGAACTCACACTTGGAGGAACTTCATGGTTCAAACTTCAAAAATTATAAATACAATTTGGGTTAAACTAAAATCCAGTATTTTGAAATATTTTTCTTAGAGGTAATATATTTTTTGATCTTTTAATTTTGTCCTCATTTTGATTTTAGTCAATCAAATTTCAAATTATAAATTTTGATATCTCAAGTTTCTTTTCGTTTAAAACATTGTTATAGTTTAAAACTTGAGAGACAAAAATTAAAATGATGACGAACTTGATGAACTAGCAATTATATTAACCTTCTTTTTTAATATGTTCAGTATCTTAAAGTATTTTATACTTCATCCAACATTTTGAAGTATTTTTTTATTGTATTCAACATCCTAAATATTTTATAGTACATCCAATACTCTGAAAATATTTTTCCATATACGTTTAGTTCTATAAAAAAATACTGAAACAAATACCTTATGGTGCATTTGATATGAGGGATTTGGAAGGGAAGAAAAATGATTTTAATCATTTCTCCTTGTTTGGCAACACAAATTTTAGGAGGAGAGGAAAAATTTTTAAAAAAATTTCCTTCCCCTCCTCAACCTCCCCTTTAAAATTGGGAGATTTGGAGGGAAAGGGTAATATTTGTCATGTTGTGATGATTATGCCCATATTTATTTTTAATATCCTTATATTACCATAAATCCTTTTCTTTTTGTCTTCAGATGCTGCTCTCTCATTTGCATGACCAAAATTTCATTCAAAGATGGGATACAGTACAGGTTGTGACTGAACATTACTTTAACCTTCTTTTTAATAATACTTCATGCTCTAAAGTATATTAGAATTTTAGTATAAATATTGCTCAATATATTAAATGTTATTTACAATTCTATTTTATGAAACATTCTATAAAATTTTAAAAAATAATCTTAAATAAAATAAGGGTAAAATTGTCCATGTAAAAATATTTTTCCCTCCTCTCCCCTCATGAACCAAACAAGGTAATATTAAAACTTCTCCCCTCCCTTCTCTTTTTATAAATCCAAACAAGGTAATATTAAAATCCATCCACTCTCCTCCCTTCCCTTTCGCTCTATTAAAATCATTCTCCTCCTCTTCCTCTCATTGAGTCAAACAAACTCTTAGGGTCTTGATGCACATTCTTTTTCTTTTTTTTTTTGGCCTGAAATAATGCACATTCATTTGACATACTGTTTGAGGAATAAATAATGATCTTAAAATTGCTCCTGAAAAAATGCTCTAAGAACATAATTGCTTTTGTAAAAATTAATACCTTAAGGACAAGGTTATATTACAAAATATTTTATGATACTGGATCCATATAAAAAAAATACTTTAAAGTATTAAATTCATCTTAACCCATATGATTATTTATTACTAAAATTTTTTATATCAATAACAAAAATTGAATACATGCCTTTATGTATGGGCTAGATTAAAATATACACATATACATGGGCTAAATTTTTACACTTATATTTATATATCGGCGTAATAAATAGATGTCTCGTGCATCTTCCTTCATATCCGTTACAACCACGTGATGCCTCATATGACAGAATATAAAATTCACAGCTCACAGACACGATTCTTGTCCTACATGATTTTTAAAAAAAAAAATATTCTTTTTCTCTAAACATAAAATATGACAAAAAGGATATTTAAAAATGAATTAAGTTGTGATGGACGTAAAGTTGATTTTAAGATATTCTAAGAATCTCTGAAATTTTTGGATATATTTTTTTATCTGTGAGTTAATCACGCAGATGACTGTTTCAATCTAGACCCTTCTATGATGAAATCCTAAACCCAATAGTCCCGTGCACAAAAGACTGATAATTAGGGCTTGTTTGAATTCAAAACCAGCTTTTTATCATAATTTATAAAACATGAAATAAATATATAAAAAAATTTTATCTTAACTTATATAAATGTATTCATATGTAGTCACATTAAATAAATGTAAAGAAGCCCAAACATGGTAAAAGCATCAAAATACTTACTACTTTTTCTGTTCTAAATATAAGACCTTTTTTATAGTGTAATTTATACTATAAAATGGATCTTATATTTAGAACCGGACGAGTATTTACAATTACTTTTAATATTTGTTTTGAGAACACTTAAAATAAGTGATGGCTTTATGCCGAGATAAAAATTTTCTATATAATTATTTTTTACAATATGAAAACACTTTTTCACCGTTAATTCAAGACCCTATTTGACATGATATTAAAAATCATTTATAAGTACGTTTTATATAAATTGAGACAAAACTCTTCTCACATATTTATTTCATATTTTAATAAAAAATTATTTATAAACTATTTCAAACTAATTTCAAATGCATTCCAGCTTAATCATAGACAAAAATACTGTGCTTCCTCCCAGCATTAAGCCAGCTTGTCAGTCAATTATCATTATTTCGCTCTCATAGATATATACTCCCTCCCTCCCTTTTTGTGAGAAGTATTTTAGAACTTCTTTCAGGTCCAAAGATAATACCATATATATATATATATATATATATTTTTCATAGTCTTTCTATTTAATCCTAACCTTTTAAATGTTGTAGAAAACATCAATTATACTTTAAAGATATTTATTAATCAAGAAAAAGCAAAAATTTACCTACTTTCATATTTTATTAATTGAATTATTTGTTCGATAAAAAGATGAAATATATGCATTAAAATGAAAATAAAAATTCATATAATAGTAGTTATATGCAGACGTAAATAAAGACGAAAAAGAGTGAGAAAATTGAATAATTACTTTTTACTAATAAGTGTAAACAATTAAAGACACTTTATAAAAATCGTGGAAGAGGTGTGTGTCCATGTATGTATAACAAAACTTAGGTTTCACAGGGTTAAGTTATCTATAACACATGTTATTGTTACCCAAAAAAAACAAAAACACTTGTCATGTTGTTGTTATTATTATTTATTTGATAAAAGAATTTGTTTGATTTTTATTTTAATCCTAAATATAAAACCTCAGTTCAAATTACTTTTCATATTTATCTTTTTTTTTTAAATAGGTCTTGTAATAATAGTAATTCTAACTAATATACCTGATTAGTAAGAATATTTTAGGAAAGATAATACCTATTTATTATAAATAATTAACCTAATTAATTTTCTTAATCTGCTCAAATTAATTAATTAATTCTTATATTAAAAATCGGAAGTAGTATATATATATACTTGTAAATCCACATATAAATACTTATAAATTTTTATATTAGTTATTACTCTCTCCGTTCCTTATTATAAGAGACATTTGATGCTTATAACATATTCCTATATATAAGAGACACTTAAAAGTTGTATCTATTTTTTTGTATTGATTTCCTATTTTACCCCTATTTATTTTGTCTCCAACTCATACTCTCCCTCCCTCCCACTTCTCTTTCTTTTAATAATTTAATTGTTCTCTCATACTCTCTCCTTATTAATGGGGGCATTGTTGGAAAAAAAACATTATACTTTTTACACATTAATTGTCCTCAACTAATTTTAACTGTTTTTTTAATCAACGTAATTTAGTTATTTGTCTCTTATAATAAAGAACGGAGGGAGTATAATATAAATTGAACACTTATGATTTTGATATTATTAATTAGCTTATTTATTTAAAAAAAATCAAAAAATTGACTTTAAAGAATTTTATGTAAGTTTTGTCCTGGCAGATAGACCAGGTAAACGTTGTGGATCGTGACACTTACGCGTTCCAAAGGAGCGTTGGCAATGGGGATAGCAATCTTTGACCGTTCTTCACACGTCCCTATCTGCAAAATTTCGCTCTCAAGTCTCAAACTCTCACGCTCTCTCTTTCTCTTCCTCTTAGACTCACCTCACCGTCTTTCTCCTTCTCTGTCTACCATGTAGCAATGGCGAAGCTCCCCACAGAGAGAGGCATGGCAAAGTCAAACTCCCACACGCTTCCTCCGTCGCCCACCCACTCCTCCTCTTCCTCCGATTTCGAGTTCACCATCTCCATCTCTCCCCGCAAGTTCACCTCCGCCGCCCTCTGCCCCGCCGACGACCTCTTCCGTGACGGCCACCTCTTACCCCTCCACCATCCCTCCCATCATCGCTTACCCACCACCACCGTCCCCTCCTCCTCCTCCTCCGCCGCAGCCCGTGACTCCTCCGGTAGCTCCAACGATTCCCAACATTCCTTATTCACCGCCACCGATTGTGACTCTTCCCGCCCGAGCTCCGTCACCGACGACGATGACCTCAAGCGATTTCACAACCCGCTGTTCTATCCCCTGTCCACTCGATTCCAATCCCATAGAGAGATTAACAAGATCAACAAGACCAGCGTGACGAACAAATACTTATCATCTACCTTCTCCAGATTCTCTTCCGTGTTCAGGAAAGAGCCGGGTAAGACCCGAGATCCGGATAACGTATCTGGATCGTCGGTGAGACGCGTGAGCGTCACAGCGAGAGAGGTTGTTAGGAAGTATTTGAAGAAGGTGAAGCCGTTGTACGAGAAGTTTTCGCAGAAGCATCAGAATCAGCACAGAACGGAGGCCGGAGTGAAACCAACGTCGTTTTCGTCTCTGTTGGCCAGAACAGAGAGATCAGCTATAAAAGAAGCAGAGAAGAAACAAACAGGGTCTGTGATGCTTTCTCATTCTTTCTCGGGAAATCTGAGGCACCTACGGAAGAAGAGAAGCTGCGTTTCGAGCTGCCCTTCGTCGATGAGATCCTCACCGACACACTCCGGCGCGCTTTCTCGAAGCGGCGTCGCCGGAGGGATGTATCATGGAAGCTCCAATGCGTCGACGATGGAGGAGTTGCAGAGCGCAATCCAGGGTGCGATAGCGCACTGTAAGAACTCGTGGATTCCGGACAAACCGATGGTCAGTAGCGAAATATGAATCTCATTATTAGGGCATTTTGATTTGCACAATGTAGTTTCATTTACGTCTAGCTATCTCTGTTTTTTCTGGTTTGTTCTTCGTCAGATTGGATTAGCCAATATGGTAAAAGATTATCTTCTTTCTCAGTTATTTTCTTCCACTTTCTTTTGCATTTCCGGGAAAATCTGACGCGAGAGCAAGGGAAAATAGCTGCATGGGATTGTATTCGATCAGAAGTTGATTTTGATTTTCTCGTACGTTCAGAATTTTTTTTTGGGGGTTTAATAACAAAAATACGTTCAGAAATTAACTATGAACTGTGGAGTCAAAAGCTTTTTTTAGAGAACTTTAAAATGATTCCAACACTTCCAATATTGAGGATCATATGGTTTCTTTTCGTTTTACAGTGAAAAGATGTCATAGAAAGGTAGAACTTTCTGACTTGATTGTGTTGTCACCTGAGAAAAATTGTGTTGTCACTGATTCATGCAGATCTCAACTTTTCATAATTTATATTTATAATTTATGAATATTACGGCTTTTTAAAAATATTTTTTATAATATATTCTAAATAAGGGGAGTTTGTTTTGATCATGAATTAAAAGTTATTAATTCATTTTTTTCTCTTAAATTTATAATTTTTTTATTTACTTATACATATTAAGAAGATTTTTTGTTAAGGAAGTAATTGCCAATACAATTGGTTAAAAGTATATTTTTAAAAAATATGTTTTATACAATATAATATCGTACTTTGAAATTTAAAATTTAAAGTCATTCCTAAATTTTTGAGTACTTTTAATAGGCTCAGATTGGAGTTCTTGCTTCTAATATTGGTAATGTTTTCTTGTGAATATTTCCATCATTTGGTTTTTGTGCTGCTAATAATAATAATAATACTAATAATAATTTTTTTCCCAAAAAAAGAGGCAAGGGTTGGTTGTAGTTGCATTTACTAATTCTGCAAGGTGCTTGCATTGGAATGCAAAAATGGCAGAATCTGAATTGGAGCTTTCCTGGAAAATGATTCCATGTGATTCTCTTTTCTATTGTTTTAATTGAGGCTCTGAAGGTCTCCAGCATTTTCCTTTTAAATTTACAATGTGTCTGTCACTCTATTAAATTAATATTATCTCCCATATCTATTTTTGTGGCCAACGATTATCTCCCTTTTCTATGCATCACGTCACATAGCATATTCTATAAAGGGATGATTATGATTGGAAAACTTAGTTAGCAAATTAACATTAAATAACAACTTTTTAGCTGTGAAAAGTTATAAAAATAAAAAAGTTTAGTCAATTACTGTAATAATAAAAATTATAAATTTAAATAGTAACAGACTAAAAATGAGGTTATTGCGTGATATTGCTTCATTTATCTAATATAAAAGTAACTAATTTGTGTATATTGGATAAATTAAATAAATTAGTTAATCATAAAGGTTCTTCTTTTATTCTTTTCTGTGGCACTTTTTCTATATGTGTGTTTTTAAAGCGCATTTGGTTTTTAGTAAGAGTACTTTTTAAAAGCATTTTTATGTAAGATAAGATAAAATTTTTCTTACATATCTATTTGTATACTATAAAATTACTGTTAAAATTATATTTTAGTTTCCACCCAAATACTTCTAAATATATTAAATGTGAGTAATATATGTCATATATGAATCAAGCATAATATATTTTTAATTGTTCAATTTGCTACTTAGAAGTGTCGTATGTGACTTTCTCAAGCTAGTGGCATTACTATTCATTTTGCCATAACATACTTTAAAACTTGAAAGGCATATTTAATTCTGTGATCTATGATCTATCATTGGAAAGCTCAGGCACCATCATCAAACAGAATCTGGCTTAAACAGGATCTATGAGGAAATTAGAGGAGAGCGAAGAAAATCTTTTAATAAGCTTGATTTAAAAAATTTAAAAAGTGGGGTTAAAATTTTTTAATTGATTTTCCTTACTCTTTTATTTTACATCTTTTTTAATTAAAATTTTATAATCTCACTTTTTAATTTTTTAAATCGAACTTATTAAAATTTTTTCTCCTTTCCCTCACCTCCCCTGCCCTTCAATTTCCTAGGGTTTAAAGTTCTTCCTCCATTGCTGGTTAATTGCTTTGATTGTTGTTCTTCTTTCATGAGAGGAGAGTAACAACTCACGCGTTTAGTTAATATATACTAGGATTTCTTTTATAGAATACTACCTCCGGTCTTTAATATAAAGCTTTATTTGATTTTTATTTTAGTTCTAAATATAAGACCTTAGTCCATTTTGTCTCTAAGATTTATGTATTTTTTTTTTAAAAAATCTTTCTAACAATAGTAATTCTAAACAATAATACACTTCATTAGTAAGGATATTTTAGAAAAGACAATACCTATTTATTACAAATAACTAATTTAACTTCTTTCTTTAATTTTTTTAAATTAGTTAACTAACTTTTATAATTAGGACCATATGTAGTATTTAAATTAAATGAGGCGTTTAGTGTTATTGAGTCATATGACTCAGCCCCTATATAAATGGGTGTGTTTCGGGCTGACAGTGATTCACGCGCGCGCGCGGGCGCACAATAAAATGGATTCGGTGCAAATGCAATTTGGAATTCATGGTCCAAGTTGGATCCAAATGGTCTACATTTTATTACTTTCCATTTTCAATCATAAACGCAAGACTTATTTTATACTATCTTTGACTCTAATTATAAGAGTCAGTTGACTAATTTAAAGAGATTAAGAAAGTAAATTAAATTAGTTATTTATCCTAAATAGGTGTTGTATTTCCTAAAATATCCTTGCTAATCAAGTGTATTGATTAGAACTATAATTATTAGAAAGACTATTTTAGAAAAATTGAGTAAATATGAGAGACAAAGTGGATTATGGTCTTATATTTAAAACTAAAATAAAAATCAAACAGTGTCTTATATTAAGAACCGGAAGTAGTAATATAAATTATATTATAAAATAAGTCTTATATTTAGTGGGGTAGTATTTTGAATGTGAAACAATATAAAGATAAAAAAGTAACATCATTTTTATAATCATTAATCAACCTTCCAAGAAAAAAAATCAATATAAAAATTACAGAGAAACAAAATAATAAAATATAGAGTGTGCAAATTTGATACCACGATCTAAAGTCGGACGTTGTGAGCCTAGAGCAGAAACTAGGTTTGAGAGATGTGTCTCTAAATTTGGTGCACATCTCTAAGATGTGCACTCCCTTCTATTTTTATTACAAAATGTTTTTAATATTTCCCCGCATATTAAAAATGTGTATTAAATATGTAAATAATTCAAATATTTCTATTATACCTAATCAATAAAAGTAAGGTGAAATTACAATTATGGGAGACAAAAATATAAAACTACTAGTTTCTTTTACATACTACCTTATATTTTGGACAAATAAAGTTTTCTAAAAATCCTCTTATAAGGACAGAAAGTTATTTATTTAAAATTTTTAAATTAATTCAGATTTTGTTACTTTTAATTAATTTAGTTATATTTGGATCTTAAATGAAATAGGATTCGGAGTGGTTAACAATAGTCGTGATAATTAATCATTGCACAATTGTCAACTTATACTTTAAAAAATAAAATAAAGACAATATAGTAATTAAACAAGTAGAAGCTCTTACAATAAAATTCTTTAAAAGTTTATATTAATTTAATGATTTCAAAAGGCTATTTTGTATTTAATTTTTTTAGGTGGAGCTTAACACAATTTTTTCATAATTAAAATAACATCTTAAAAATATCAGCACATAATTTTTACAATTAATTAATTAAACTAATTTTTTTAATTTTAATAAATTAATTATCTAATTTTTATATTTTAAAAAAATAAAATGAGAGTAGAGTAGCAGACCTAGTATCATGGTTGGTGAGGTGGCTTCGTTAAATTCCACAAAGGCTAGTGGAGTAGTGGTGTCCCTTGTTGACTCTCCCGCGCTTCCACCCAGCTTTTTAAAAAGGCCTTGGAGCATGCCGCGTGTACGGACCTCTTAAATAGGGCTCTCAATTCGATTTTTTTTTTCTTCTTTAATTATCTGGGTGAGTTCAATTGTTTGACTTGTTCAAATTCGCATTATCCTCATAATAATGTTGGTTGTGAAGAAATTTTATTAAAAAGTGATCTGTAGATATTTTTATAAATATTTTTTAAACTTGAAGACATATATTAATTTTGATGAGCTTTTGGCACCTAACTTATTTAAACTTTCTTTCTTATCTTAAAAAAAGCTAAAGTATACATTTAGTCTTTTAATTTTATGTAAGGTTTCAGTTTAATCCTTTAATTTTAAAAAGTATATTTTTAACCCTTTAACCCCAAAATTATTAGTCTTAAATAATAATTTTTTGTAACAATCATCATTGTTTTGAATATTAAACTTAATTTGTTAGTATTTAGTAATGTTTTATCAGCATTCAAAAACTTAATATCATCATTTTTTGTCAATAGTTTTAGAGTTAGAGGACTAAAAGTTTACTTTTTAAAGTTAAAGATTTAAAATAAAATTTTATGTAAAATTAGACTAAAAGTATATTTTAGTTTTAAAAAAAATCACACGATCCCTCTTGGGTTCCAAAATTAGGCCTTTTTCCCTCTTCGGCCTCACCAAAATTAGGCCCTATAATTTAGGACCGGAGGAGGAGTACTTTAATATAATTTGGTAATATTGACTATTATATATTGTATAAAAATAGAGAGAAGCACAAATAAAGACCCTCTAATATACAAAATAACAGATAGGTCACCTGAATAAGTGAAATTACTCACAAGGACACGGTCTCAAATTGTAATTATGAAATCATGGTCAAATTACCAAAATATCTCTCTTTAATATTTTTTTTTTTAAAGAAAGCCACTGCCTCATCGGAATCCGGCCACTGGCGGCTGCTTTCGGCCGCCGGCCGCCAGAGCTCCGGCGTTGGCGGCCGCTTCCGGCGTTGGCGGCCGCTTCCGGCGGCCTTCTTTTGTTTTTTTTTTTTGCAACTTTTTTTTTAA